ACAAGCACTAAGTCAGCTGAGCTATCTCACTGGCCCTGGAAAGATATTCTTACAAAGGCCAAGAAAGGAGATGCATAGGGCTACCAACAAGCATTTCATTTTGTTCAAGTTTGCATTACTTTTTTCTGCCTATCATATCATACTAAAAAAGAGTAGGTTTGGAATACATTCATCATATGGAAATCAAAGACAATATGAGGAAATTCCACTCCATATATTGGTATACCTAGTCAGGTTAACTACTCACTGGCTATCTCCTGACTCCTTAGGTTCACTTACAATACCTTATACTTAACACCATCGGCTGGGTTTCTAGGTGTGCCACAACAGAAGCAGCATGCAGAAGACTGATGAAACTACGTTACTATTGGCTATAATTATGGTTTGCTAAAAATGATTCTGCACAATTATGAATTATAATTATAAGGACAAGCCAGTATTACCACATCTTCTACCAAACATTTAAGAAACACCAAGAATTATCCAGCTATTAGCTGGTGAATTTCAAATCAGAACAGAGACACAGTGTATTTTTCTGTCAAATGACCATGACGAACACTGCTGGAAGACTATAAATAAGCATGAACAAAGATGATGTTTACCTACATCATCTTTTGAACAGATTCAAAAAATCAGTCTGCATCTTTCCTTCTGCTGTCCTGTGCTGGGGATGAACTTGAGCCTCTTACACACCAGGCAAAATCTCTGCCACGCAGCTCTATCTCCACCCCCTCCCACATCTTTCCTTTGAAAATGAATACTTTAATGACCACCTATGGAATAAGCTATAGATAAACTGGACTGGATTTGGGGTCCTCACTTTCACAATGGCTCACTACAGACCATTTGTGGGGGTACTGGTCTGCAGAGGCTGCTGACAAAATACCATATATTGGGCAGCTTAAACAACATTTATTTCTAAGTTCCGGAAACTAGGAAGTCCCAGATGAGGCGCCAGCATGGTCAGGTTTTGGAAGGGCCCTCTTCCTGGCTCTCAGATACTATCTTCTTGTTATTATCCACACATGGCAGAAACAGAAGACAGAGCCCTCTGGCACTGAGTTCACCATGAAGAGCACACCAAGATGTGATACACCATCATGCTGGGGTATCTGTGCTCCACATATGAATGGGTGGGGCACAAATATTCTATCCGTAACCAGGGCAGGGGGCATATTCCGTTAAAAGAAGAACCACAGATATGATGGTTGGGCAGGAGAAAGCAAAGTTCATTTCTTTATTTTAATTTTTTTAAATGTATTTGGTAGAGGGTCTCACTACACAGCTCAGACTCATAGTGGTCCTCCTGTTTTCAGCCTCCCAAGCACTGGGATTACAGGTGTGCACCACCACACCTAGACTCAGTGGCTGGCTCAGCACACGGGGGAGCCAGGCCAGCATGGCATGTGCTGTGGGGGATTGAACCCCCATCCCTGTGCTTGCCTAAGCAGGCACTTAGTCTACTGAGCTACCCTGCTGGCCCTTAAATTTTTTATTTAATTATAATGTATGATATGTAAATGTTGGCTATTGTCCACAGTGCTAGCTTTCTTTAAACAATATCAAAACCATTTATCAAATTCTTCTATGCCTCAGGTGATAGGCACAGATGACAAGCCTCCACTCTGGGCAGGTATAGCTTAGAGGTAATAGGTTAGGTCATTACTACCACATTTTTACATTAAAACACCAAAGAGGAGCCATATTTCTCTCTCTCTCTCTCTCTCTCTCTCTCTCTCTCTCTCTCTCTCTCTCTCTGTTTTGTTTTGTTTTGTTTTGTTTTGTTTTAGGTTTTTTTGCAAAACTGGAGATTGAACTCAGACCCTTGCACTTGCCAGGGAAGCACTTATTCTACTGAGCCATCTCCCCAGCCCCATATTTCTCATTTTGAAAACAAGGTGAAAGGAAAAAAGAAACACCAGACCTGTGCAGTTCAATCTAAAGCACTTCCTGGAAACGAAGATTTCCATTTTTTTTTGTCTCTGATTTTACACTGTTGACTTTTACACATGACATCAACCACCTACTAACTGAAGGGGAATCTAAATTCTTTGACTTTTTTCAAAATCCTCTGATATCTGAAGATATCCCAAGATGTTGCACAGAGAAGGTTAAGAAGCCAAATACGGTGGTGCATGCTTGCCTCTAATCCCAGAACTCAGGAGGCTGAGGCATGAGGATGGCCAAAAGTTTAAGACTACCCTGGGCTACACAGTTCAAAGCCCGAACTACATGGTGAGACCTCCTCTCAAAACAGAGGTGGGGAGGGGATTGAGAAACCTTAATTTACTCAAACCCCCAAAAGCATAACAATAAAATAATATCATACATGATTCGTGAGTTCATTTTCAACAGAGAAAGGAATGTTCCCTATGTTTGAAATATTTTCTCAGTTGTTAAGGACTTCCTCAGTTACAAGGCACTAAAGCAGTTTTCAGAAGAACTGCAAGACATCAATACAGTGAAATTATTTTCACATAATAATAGGTCCTTAAAGCCTAATAAAAGGAAAGTTAAACAAACAAAAAAAGGAAGTCTATTTAGAGAATATGGGAAACAGATTTGCATTTGTTTAAACAGAAAAAAAATAAAATTTATGTGTCTATACGTGGGGACAGCGGAAATAAGTAGACTACATCAACTAATCAGTTATTTGTTCTAGATACTATTTTGTCGTCCCACAGTTTTACCTTTCTTCTGTTTCTACTCTAGGACTTTACTTTGCGGCTTTCAACCTATGCGTCCCTAGTTCACTTGTCCTGCAGCTGGCTACGCACTTTAGGCTTTAGAACTGAAGCTGCTGTGCCCCTCCACAGGCATTCCCCAGAGAATTCCAGTGTCCAGGGTGTGCTTGAATGGATGCGGTCCTTGGAGAACAGTGAATCAAGAATACCAGTAACTGGGCTGGTGAGATGGCTCAGTGGTCTAAAGCACCTACTTAAAACAAGCTAAGCTAAGCACAGACCGCAGTTCAATCCCCAGCACCACATGCCAGCCAGCAACGCCCCCTAGTGGACTGAGCTGGCCACACACACACACACACACTAAATAAATAAATAAATAAATAAAGTTTAAAAAAAAAAAGAATACCAGTAACTAACAAGTACATAGGGCAATATCATGATTCAGCCAAGCTTTCAAGGACACCAGAAACACTATATATAGTTGTATTTTCTGAAAATAGGAAAGAACAAATGGAAATACCTCTTAAAGCAGCCCACATACAATAATATGAACTGGGGACATGTACCCCTAGGTCTACTCAGGCATAACTAAAAATCAAGGGTAGTCTCCTCTTCAGAGATATCTGCAAAAGCGGGATTTGCATCTCACTCACAAGTGCTATGTGGAAAAGAGCAGAAAGGAGAGCAGGTTTACCTGTAAACTCCTAAATCCAATGCAAGCCACAGAAACGAAAAGCAAAACATACATTTCTTATATACCTTGTACACACATGCTCTGTGTTCTATTTCAATGTACTCAGTTTTGGGGGTCAAGCCAGGAAAAAATTCTCCCAATACCATCTTTCTTCAAAATTACCAATACAGGGAAAATACATATACATGTACAGATATGTACCTATGTCTATATATAACATGTACTTATATTAATGGACACAAACATATTACATATTTCCTTAAGGGAAAACCTGCAGAAATAAAAATACAGCTATTTCCTCTCCTTCCCCAGGATTTTACACTTTAAGCCTGACAAGAGAGGAATTTAACTCCATGCCATGCTTAGTATCTAGTATGTGTTCAGTGTTTGGTAAATGAATGATGAAAGTATTTGGAAGACAGGCTTTTGTTTTGTTGATGTATGGATTTAACACTCACACATAAAAATATACACATCTATATAATCACACTGATGTCTACCAAAAATGCCCTTGTGACAAAAAGTGGAATCTTTATTACTACCACAGAATAGAACGGGATGTTAACAATTAAGTAAAGTATGATGGAAAATTTCAAAACATTTAAAATTCTTCCAAATATGGACTTTTTGTGTCAGTTATCTTGGTTTCCATGGAAATTGAAGAAAATAGCCTATTCCTACTTTGAAACAAAGACTGCTTTTGCCCATAATGTAACATATAATCATAAACAATCTTTTATATCCTTATAATGCTACATCAAAGAATTTACACACATAGTATTTGTAAGTAGTATGCAATATGTTGGGCAAACCTCAACGAAAAAAATAACACTGACTGAATCTGTCACTTGTCATTTAAAGAGTAGCTCTAAAAGTACCTTTAAGAGTAGCGAGAAGTACTGGTAATTCTCACACTAGTGGACACACGGCTTTGCTAGCCACAGTCAGTCTGTCTGTTCTCTGAACAAGGGGGAAAAATCTGTTGTGTATAGATTGGGGCTTCGTTTTGCTTTGCTTTATCCTATCTTTATTCTATACCTTAAAAAAAAAAAAAAGAAAGAAAGAAAAACAACAACAAAAAAAAAAAAAAAAAAAAAAAAAACACATAGGTAGAGAACGAGTAGGTTTTGTTTTACTTCAAGGTTTTAAACAACCTAAAGGCAACATAAAGTTAAACTTCACAAGGTTGTTGGCCACCGGATTAGTGCTCCGAAGAAAGCATAAAATATGCACAAAATGTCTTTTTCAAAACAGTTGATTTGTAATGGAGAGAGGACAGCAAGCGGCCCAAAGCACATCTTTAACAGAGAGTAATATTCCTTCCTCACAGCCAAATCCCATCGAACCTTTGTTCTATCTGTAAACTCGAGCTTCGGGCAGCGCTGCTTAGGGCGCCCGAGGTGAGGAGGGACGCGTCCCCCGCGCCCCGCCGGGCGTCCGCTCGCGGTGACCTCCGCGCGGACCCGCTCCGTCCGGATCCCCGAACTCCGCGCTTGCAGCCTGGGGCGCACAGTCCCCGCTCAGCGCCCGGCAAGCGCGACTCCTCCAACTGTGTGCGTCCCGCCCAGCACCCCGCAAGCCTCGGCGGCGCGGCGGCCCGCCGCAGCTCCCGGGTGGCTTACCGAGGAGCGAGCCTATGAAGATGACGATCTGCACGGTGGTGGTGAACTGGCGGTACAGCTGAGCCTCGCCGCCCAGCTCCGCGAGCGCGCTGCG